TGAAATGCATTTTATATGTTTCCATTTTAACTTTTAACCATTTTAACTATATTATTGAATTTGAAGTTACAAAATCAAGGTGTTAATTATGTAGAAGCTAGATGATAAGATGTGTTATTTTATTATTGAGAAAATAGCAAGGAGATTTCACAAACCCAACACGGGTTGAGTGTCCGCACCATATTTACCTGTTTCGACACTGTAATCAGTTTTCGGCGTGTGGTTAAATAAGAATATAAAATTATAAGATAACAGAGCATTTAACCGAAGATGGATGGCATTGACAAGAGATGACGGTGTTAAAATTCCGTCAATGGAAAGATGATGGTTCACTTTTTCCTCCAATGTTGAGGGATTATCATGAAAGAAAGAGAGCTGAAAATGACTCCTTTTATAAAGTAGGAATTTTTTATAACATTAAGTCATTTATCAAGAGTTTAATTAAAATCAAATCGGTATAAATTAGTATCAATTTTTGTATTTTTTATATAAATTAAGAATTTATCTAACATTTATTTTAAGAGCTGATGTTAAAAGCAATAAATATATATTTTTATGATTAATTCACATAAAAATTACAAAAACTGACTTTTATTTGGACACTGTATTAATTGAATTAAAGTTAAATTTACACTTTCAATATGAAGTAATTGTAAAAGAGTAAATTAATTATAGCTTTAACATGTGCCTTTAATAACCAACATTTTTAATCACCACTGTAGTTCAAGAAGAAGCTGGTGGTCCTGAGATCAAGTCAGAGAACTGTTCCATAAATCAAGTGTCAATTTTCGTGATGGAAACTAGATGATTGTTTCTTCTGTTATATAGATGCTTATATGACAGTTTCAAAAGTAAGGATTTAGTTTCCAGACCATACAGGTTGCTATTTTGTTTGTTTGTACAGTTAAGTCATTAAATTCTATGAAGTAAGAACTACAAACTGAAAAATGATGACATTATTCATATTTATGACAAGATAGCATTGCAGATCCAACATGATGAATCTGCCTACAAGAAATGGATTAGTTTCTGGATTTTCCACATTCTACTTTTGATGCTTTTACTTACTTTCGTTATATTGTACTTACTTTGATTAGTGGAATATGAAATTGCTTAGGAAATGTGTGATACAGCTGAATATAGAAAAGATAACATCATTGAATAATGTATACTTTAGTTTTCAATTTGTGCTTCTACATGGTCCACGCCATCTTAGAGAAGATTGAACAAGGATTGGTAGCCTTTGCATCAAAGCTATTTTAGAAATTGATCAAATACGCACTAAGAGCAGTTAAATTTGTGTTTTGATTTCTCTACATTACTCTGTTAAGAAATAGGAACTGTAGGTTTATTGCCATAATAAAGCTTTGATTAAGTAGGATCAAGCATGGATTAAGGGGGATTAATTGGGATACGTAAAAGCCAGGTGGTGGTGAGTCCTTGCACAATATATAGAGAGGGTGCAGAAATTGCAGAGTGAAAGACTCAGAAGAAGGAATCAACTTACAGGACAATGATAAAAATTATGCTAGTAGAATTCAGATTTCAGACACAGAAGAAACCATGCACAGGCAAAAATAACT